TTCCCAGGTATGTGATATTCCCTGACTCCAATTGTGTATTAAGCAAATTGACAAATGAGAAATTAATTGGTAGAACTGTGGATTTTAACCAGTTTATAGAGTAATCTGAAACTCTGGAAAAAGAGTTTATCAGTTCTATTGCTTGGGAGAGAGAGGATTGAGAATTCTGGAGAAAGAGTAAAACATCATCTGCATAAAGACTGATCTTATGTTCTATTTTCTTACACTTTATCCCTTTAATATCTGTTGTTTGCCTAATTGCTGCTGCTAGTGGTTCAATAAAGATAGCAAATAGTGAGGGGGAGAGAGGGCATCCCTGCCTGGTCCCCCTCTGAAGACAGAAGCTAGCTGACATTTGGTCGTTCGTCCTGACACGTGCTGTTGGTGAACTGTATAATGTTTGTAGCCAGTTTATGAAGAAGTTCCCAAAACCAAATTTATGTAAAGTTGCAAATAAGAACTTCCAGTTAACTCTATCAAAAGCTTTTTCTGCATCTAGAGATAATATACTAGTTTCTATGTTTCTACTGTAAGAGAAATCTATCAAATTAAGTAATCTACGTGAATTTGTGGGTGATTGTCTACCCTTAATGAAACCAGTTTGGTCAGGGTGTATTATGAAGGGGGTTACCTTCTCTAATCTTTTGGCCAGGGCTTTACAAATTATTTTGAGATCAACATTAATAAGAGAAATTGGGCGATAGCTGGTTGGAAATGCTGGGTCTTTGCCTGGTTTTAACAAGAGACTAATATTGGCTGAATTCATGTTTGGCTGTAATCTGCTGCTCTCTTCGATTTCCCTCACCATTCTGAAAAATATTGGAGCCAGAATGATCCAGAATTCTTTGTAGAATTCTACTGGGAACCCGTCTGGACCTGGAGCTTTCCTATTCGTCATGGATTTAAGGGCTTCCTGGAGCTCCGCTGATGTTAGTGGCGAGTCCAGGACTGTAACTTGGCTGTCTGATAATTTAGGAAGTGTTATCCTGTCAAGGAACTCATTGATCTCATTATCTGATGGGTTTATCTGTGGTGAGTACAACGTTTGGTAAAAGTCTCTGAAGGTGTTGTTTATTCTTTCAGGATCATATACTATATTCCCGGTTGAGTCTTTAACAGCAGATATGGTAGTTTTCTCTTTATTTATTTTTAATTGGCTAGCTAAGAATTTACCTGATTTATTACTATGTTCAAAGTTTTCTATTCGTAGTCTTTGTGCTAAAAATTGTGTCTTTTTGTCAATAATTCCATGAAGTTCTAATTTAGCTTTACGTAATTTGCTCATTAACTCTTCTTCTGTGGACGCCTCTAAAGACTTGATGATTTCTTCTAACTCCTGAATACGTTTGTTTTCCGTTTTTTTCTTATGTGATGAGAAAGAGATTATTTTACCTCTCATCACTGCCTTTTCTGCCTCCCAAAGAATAGATGCTGATGTTCCAGGCAGGTCATTATGTTCTAAATATAAACCCCACTCCTTTTTAAAAAATTCTATATAACCTTCGTCTTTAAGCAGTGATGTATTAAACCTCCAGTTTTTGCTTGGTGGGATTGTCTTTTTATTTACCAGAGTTAAAGAAACTGGAGCATGGTCGCTGACAACTATGGGGTGTATCTCAGTGTCTGAAATGTCAGCCAACAATGAGCTGCTGACTAGAAAATAATCCAAACGTGAATGAGAGTGATGGACGTGCGAAAAAAAAGTATACTCTCTACGGTTAGGATGAAGAGATCGCCATGCATCACAAAGCCCATAATCACTCATGTACTGTTTAACTATGTTAGTGGATTGCCAATTGCGCTGAGTCCCAGCTGTACTGAGCCAGTCTGTTAAGGAATTCATCCAAAAATTAAAATCACCTCCAAGTATAAGTGGACAGTCCAAGTGTTCGGAGAGTACAGAGAAAAAATTATGAAAGAATGGAGGGTCATCAATATTTGGACAGTATATGCTGACGATACATAAGCGTTGGTTCTGTACAGATAATTTTAACATTATAAATCTACCCTCTGGATCAGAAACTGTGTCCAATACTGTGAAATTGATGTTTTTGTGTATTAAAATAGCTACACCTCTTTGCCTAGAGTTATAGCAGGCAGAGAACATGCTGGGAAACTCAGGTGTTTTAAGTTCATCTGCGGATGTGGCAGATCTATGAGTCTCTTGTAACAATATTACGTCTGCTTGCACTCTCTTTAGCTGATCAAAAATCTTTAATCTTTTCTCTATGGAGCCAGCTCCATTTACGTTCCATGAGACACAATTTAGTGCACCCATAGATGTGTGTGTGAGTAGCTAAAATATGACGCCTTCATGTGAATAAGATGGGATAAGTATATAAATGTATAAATAGTATGTTAATAACAAAAAAGTAAATAATAATAATAATAATAATAATAATAATAATAATAAAGATCCAACAGTGTTTGTGGTTGTATTATTTGACGCATAAATTATGATATTGTGCTGTGAATTTAATATATATATGTGTGTGTGTGTGTGTGTGTGTGCGCGTGCGTGTGCGCGTGCGTGCATGTGTGTGTGCGTGTGTGTGTCGAGTCTGACGCAGTGTTGGAAAGTTGTGTGGTTGTGCCATACAGGTGTAAAGGTACAGAAGCAGGTAAAAAGGAAGGGAAGGTACAGATATAGGTTAAAAAAGAAGTAAGAACTAAAAAGAAAAGGTAATAGGGGTGTGGGGTGGTGATTAACAGGTGATCTTATCATCTACAAAACGGATTTAGCAGCTGTTTAATCCTGACGTGATCAAACCCAGTGAATCCTGATAAGAATAGTAAATGTCTGACCTGATGTTGGGCTAAAACAGCCAGTCAGTCACTCCTCGCTCCTTGTAAAGTTTATTGTCCACATAAAGCTTATCCACCGCGATGACAGCTCTCTTCCCATCCTGGATAAACTTTTTACGCAGCGGAAAGAGAACCCGGCGTCGATCCAGAATCTCCTTCGGGAACTGATCATTCACGCTGAAATCTTTCCCTTTGAGCTCTCTTCCGTGACTTTTAACAAGATATTTCTGCTTAAAATGTTCAAATTTAGCCACGATGGGACGAGGTCTTCTGCTGTCTCCTCTTTTAGCTCCAAGGCGATGTACCCGGTGAAAGGTGATGTTTTTAACTTTTTCTTCAGGTATCTTCATTTCTGTCTGAAGAAAGTTCTTGATTGTATGTTCGCAGTTCTCCGCCCCTCACGTCTGCTCCGGCAGACCTGCGAACACCAAATTATCCCTCATGTTGCGGGCCTGAAGGTCCAAAACCGTCTCCTTCAGAGTTTTGTTGTCCAGGGTGATCCGCATCATTCCCTCTTCCAGGGAAGAGACGGACTTCCGCAGAGACGCGTTCTCAGCAGCGAGCCGCTCAACCTGCTCCTGGCTGAACTCCAGAGATGTTCGGAGGTTCTGAAACTCCTGGTGAAGAACCTCGAGCAGATGAAGTCGCCCCTCAAATCCCAGAAGCCGTTTATCTATAGAATCTAATAATTCTAATACGTCTTTCCGGGGAGATGAGGCCTCAGGCGAGTCCTGAGGACGGCTCCTCTTGATCCCAGGTGTTTCAGCCTCAGCTGCTGATTTCTTCGGACCCATGACGAATAACTCGAAAACTTCGTCAATATAATTTAGTAAACTTTCTGAATTCTCTTCACTTACCTCCAGATTGAGTGAGTTATACTTACCAGATTATTTTTTTGCGTTGTCAGTAAATAAATTAGGCGAAAATGTGTCTTAATTGTTTGTGGATGTTTGTTAACGAGCTGCCATCAGCTTCAAACGCTGCCGTGTATCCGGTGATCGGCCGTCAGCGCATGCTCACCTCTCCCTCATGCTCACCTCTCCTTTCTAGGACTGCTTTAACTTGTATCCTCTTAACCAACTAAGATGACCCTGACCACTCAAAATGCAAAACGATTTAGCAAATTCAACGTTGAATGTGCCTTTACATGATAACTCTTCTCTGCAGGAGTCAGGAAAACAAAAATAAGCCCATTTAAGAATATTCTGAACTAATCCTTATAGAGTTTGGATTAATGATGGGAAATGCCCGTGACACGCCACAGCCAATGGTTTAGACGTTTCCATGCACATATTTTATTTTAGAAATCTACTTAAGCTGTCAAGGCTGAGCATGAGGGATGCTATAATAGAGTTTGTCAAGCTAGTGTGTCTTTAGGCTATCTGGACAAATGATGAGGGTAAACTTGTTAGTTTTGAGCTCAAAGGTTGGATGACAAAAGGCCACTAACTTGAAAATATGTGGAACTTTTGCTCTAATAACAACATATCACAATAAAAAAACAATGTTGAAGTCGGATGTTGTTAGAAGGAATGATTAAGTCAAATCAAAGCAAAGCACGAGCTCACACAGTAATGGATTCCAACACACTCTTTTTCATTAACAGGGGACCCGTACAAAAAGAAAAGAGTTGATTAGGATTGTCGAAATAAGGACAGTAGGCTTCCAGCTGCCTCTCTGAATTCATTGTCATTAGCACTGGAACGCCAAGCCCTTTTCAAACTCATTAGTTGATAAAACAACCCTCTGATTTCCCATTAAAAAACCAATTCGTCCTCCACCACATCCCTGCTTCTCCTCACCTTCAAAGTCACTCCTGAGATGGGAAAGAAGCAACAGCTCTTCTGGTAGAGAGTGGTTTCACGGCTTAAACCCATGCGAGCCGATTGTCTGTTTACATGTGCAGCATTTGTAATGCTTTTGGTTTTAGTTTAAGCCATCTTCCCTCCTGGGATTTATGAGCTGATGGGGGCTATTAATGGAAATAGAAAAGCAATTGAGTGTCATGCAGCAGTCTGTGATTGAATTTCTCGAGCACTGGAAAAAAGCCTTTAAATTTCATCCTATATTTTTAATTTTCTCACAATAATCAACAAAATACTCAGATTAGAAAAAAGCCATTACTGGATTCCTGGCAGAATAACAATTTATTTAAATTTTGACAAAAGCAAATACATATTTGTGCTTTGTGCAGTTTAATTAACAGTTTTGTTTTATATACAATTTATTACATTTTATATATAATTTTTAGTTACACATACCTAAAATCATTAAGCCTTGTTTAATTAATAATCATAAATATCAAAGAGCCCTCCCCTTTCCCAACATAGATTCATTTGAAGTTGTAAAAACATTCATTTAAAGCTGTGTCAAAATTCAAGTCCGTTTGTCTCATTCAGCCAGGATCAGCTTTACCGTCTGGAACAACGCCCACAAGTGCCGGAGGGGTTCTGCCCTGTGATCCGAGCAAATCAAAACAAAAACGCACTTACCCCAGCATAGAGCCACTCAGATTAATCTAGTCTTAATCTGCCAATGTCTGGGATTCTGAAGATGCACCTGAGCACAAAGTTGTCCTTTTTGTTTTGTGGCTCTGAGAAGCAGTGATGCCTTTCGACACATTTTCCTCATTTTCATGTAGATCAAACAGGCAGTTTTGGTTCAGAGGGAAGAAAAAGTAACACATAATAATGGCGAAAAGTATTTTTACAAATTTGCATGGATGTCTTCATGTCGTAGCACTTTATACGTGACCCAGTAGAAGATGTTGAATATGAGAAAGCTCAAGGGAAAGACGGCTCTGGATATGGTGTCGATCCGCTTGGCCCGGTCCACAAAACGCTTGTGCAGCACTTCTCCGTTGAACATGGTGATCGGGGGTGGTGGTGCGAACACTGTAGCTCCTTCCACACCAGTACCATCCTTGGTTTGCAGGCAGTGACCAAGTCCATAACCCCTGAAGTAAAAGCCACGACTCTCCCTCACAAGTTCTTCCTCCTGTGGAAAAGCAGAGAGAAAACTCGATCGACTTGATGGATCAACAAGAGTTACAGTGCAGCTTTTTACTTTTATGCTCCAGAACCGATTCCAAAAATGGGTTTGGGACATAGAAGTAGAAGAAAAAGGTGGCAGAGGAGAACAAAGTGGAAACATTTATTATAACTTCAATAATTAAGATAAAAAGTTCTAACTCTATGATAACAGAATAAATAATGTTTTCAGGCAAATCAAACAGAAAGAGAATATTTAAAAAAATGAACTATAACACACAAAAGTCTTTAAGGAGCAAGTTAAAGTCCCATAGTCATCATCACACATTGGTGAAATTCATCTTCGCATTTGACCCATCCCCACAGAGGGGAGCGGTGAGCTGCAGCTGTGGCTGCACTCGGGAACTGTATTTGGTGGTTTTACCCCCCAATCCAACCTCTTAAAGCTGAATGTGAAGCAGGACGGCACTGGTTCCATTTTTAAGGTCTTTGGTATGACCCGACCAGGTTTAGAATCCCGATCTCCCAGTCTCATAGACTCTGGAGCGCACTGAGAAGGCCCCCAAATCATCATTTATTCTGATAAACTGCTTAAACGAGTGTCTAACAGTACTGTTGACATACTTTAGGCATTTTAGTGCATCTTATTTAAAATATAAATATTCAGACTAAAACTATCAGTGTGGCGCCCTCTTTAGGTTACAACTCTTGTTACAGTCCCTAGTAAGTTTCCTCTTCAGCACCCTGGACAGCTCCCACAAGCTGCCCTTTCATACTGGTTTCAGACTCATGTCTCCAGTTAACCCTTTCAGCACATGGAGAGAGGCACGCTGCTGCGCTGCACCAGCTGAGAACAATCTGCACTCAACAAGCTCAAGCTTGGATAAGGCTGAGCTCTCCAGTCAGAAATGAAAATCAGACCTTTGCTGTTGTTCCTGTTGGCTTTGGACTGTGTTTGTTCTTGAAGAACTTGCCGTTAATTAGAGAACTTATAGTTCATGAGACTGTTTAGTTTAAAGTTGTCTTTAAGACACTATAGACTTTTGTGGTGCGGTTTCTTTAGACCGCTTGAGTGTTTGACCCGGTTTTCCACCAGTTGTGCGAGTAGCTTTTCAGCTTTGTTTTGTGTTGGTTTTAGATACTTTAACCTTCCTGCTTGAGAAATAGAGGAGTAGCTAGTTTTAGACCTTCCTGTTTTGTTTTTGGAAATTGCAGCTGTGGGTTTATCTGGCCTTTTGTGTTTATTAGTTTCATCAAACTGGTTTAGGTATTTATAGTTAAGTACAGGAGTCCCCTTTTGCTTATTATAGTGTTGAGCCTCGTCTTGTTTTGAGTGAACAATTTTGCTATCATAAACCTTCCTATGCTTTGGAAGACTTTGGTTCAGTTCCTTTCATATTTTATTACACATTGCTTGGTGTGTGTGTGTTTGTGTGTGTGTGTTTGTGTGTGTGTGTGTGTGTGTGTGTGTGTGTGTGTGTGTGTGTGTGTCTGCTCTGTCTTCTCGATCCCCAGTGAGTCGTGGTGGATGGCTGCTTATACTGAGCCAGGATTCTTGGGAGGTTTCTTCCTGTTAAAAGGGAGTTTTCCTCTCCACTGTCGCTAAATGCTTGCTTAGTATGAGGATTGCTGTAAAGATGCAATTTGCTGGGTTCCTTATATAGGAAAAATTTTTTCTGATTGGCTTAATGAACTGACCTGGATTGGAATGTTTATTATGTGAAGTGCCTTGAGATGACTCTTGTCATGATTTGGCGCTATATGAATAAAATTGAATTGAATTGAATTGAACTTGTGTTACACCCTCCTTGACTTCCTAACAACTCTGCACTACATTTGAATTTTAATCAGCCTTCACTATTGACTGAAATGGTATATTGTGACAAATGCACAGTGCTGTGTCTGATGTATTGCCACGAGAGGGATATTGAAGCAGCCAAGTCTTGGAGCCAGCCATGCCTCCAGCTGGCCTAGGTGACCTTGGCCAACTCACAATCTGATATGAAACAATGTGACTTAGGGTCACTCGCCTCTTCCAACAAAACTTTCTTCCTTTTCTCGCTTAAGGGAGGTGGAAAGAAATCATCCAGATGGTGTTAAGGCGGGGCTGTTGGTGTAGCTGGAGCCCTGTCAGTTCAGCAGGCAAATCTTCCTTTTAGTGCAACAAGAAGTGTGAGTGGAGTACGACTCTGGTAGGTGACTTGCTCTTTAAAATCATTCACATATCCTCAGAAGATTTTTAATAAATAAATCAGAAATTTTTCTGATCAAATCATTTACTCTCCGATTTTTCTTTTCCATATTCAGAAAAAAATATTTATTAGATAATGAAGAATTTGTAATCAGGTCTTTTACAATTTTTACAGTGATTTTTTTGTAAATTACTCTTAAACTCAAATTTACTACACTTATTCTTATAAACTGTTTAAAAGTTTTATCGTAAAAAGGCTGAATAAAGTTCAGTAGAAGGCCCTTAAAAAGCAATAACTAATTATATGATTCGGCCTTCTGCTTTGAGGAATGGAGATGCCATTGTTATTATTATACACAGTGAGGGAGACGGTGGTCCTTCCCTTTAAAGAGAATATTAACAGACAAACAGCTTAACTCTGACAGCCCTTTGACACTTATAAAGATTTACTTTAGCAGAAGGAAGTGAAGATGTTTGATCTAAATTGGATGATTAGAGGTCAGCCTGAAAGCTCTAATCCCTCCTCTCTATGTCTCCGACTCAGGCAGCTCTTGGATACGCTGCCAAGTTCTGTCTATTAGTTACACTTATTTGACACAGAGACACTAATGCTAATAATGTATTTGACACCCATCTTGTCTTCACTCTTATATTAAATCTAGTTTTAAAAACCCTCGCTGACCTTCTGTGTTTGTTTCTTAAGCTGCCTCCTTTTAGTAATAAATAACTTTACAGATACTGTAAAATGACAAACTGCACCATGCATAAAAGGCTCAGACGTTGAAACTTTTACAGCACATCTAAATGGCCCCTCTTATTTTAATTAAGTTTTGGAAATCTGGATTTCTAGGTGCAGCCAAGGTGTTGACTGACCTGTTTTGGTGGCCTAAGGATCAGGTCTCTGCTTTTTGCAGATGATGTGGTCCTGCTGGCTTCATCAGAACGTGATCTCCGGCTCTCACTGGAACGGTTTGCAGGCGAGTGTGAATCAGCTGGGATGAGAATCGGCTCCTCCCATCCAAATGTCTTGTAGGTCAGGGATGAGGCCCTGCCCCCAAGTGGAGGAGTTTAAATATCTTGGGGTCTTGTTCACGAGTGAGGGGAAGCTGGGACGAGAGACCAATAGGTGGACTGGTGCGGCATCTGCAGTGATGCGGGTGTTGTCACTGTTCGTTGTGGTGAAGAGAGAGCTGAGATGGAAGGCAAGGCTCTGGATTTATTGGTTGATCTACTTTCCAACCCTCACCTATGGTCACGAGCTTTGGGTAGTGACCAAAAGAACGAGATCGCAGATACAAGTGGCCAAAATTAGTTTTCTCCACAGGGTGGCTATGCTCTCCCTTAGAGATGGTGAGAAGCTCTGTCATCCGAGAGGGGCTCGGAGTAGACCCGCTTCTCCTGTGGAGGAGAAGAGGAGCAAGGTGGCTTGTGCATATAGTTAGGATGCCTCCTGAACACCTTCCCGGTGAGGTTTTCCAGGCACGTCCAACCAAGAGAAGACCTAAAGGAAGACCCAGGATACTCTGGAAGGATTATGTCTTTTGGCTGGCCAAGGAATGCCTTGGATTCCTCCAGAGTAGCTGGCCCAAGTGGATGGGAAGAGGGAAGTCTGGGCCTCTCTGGTTAGGTGGCTGCCACCGCGACCCGACCCCAGATAAGCAGCTGGTCAGCCAGTCCAGTGACACTGCCTCCAATCTCCATGTGATATTGCAGAGCCGCATCAGCCAATACAACCCTACAGAACCCAGAGTCTTAAGGAACTCTGGGCGGATCTCTGTGATTACCCGCTTGGCCTGCTGGAGTCCCACAGGCCAAAAAGACCTGATAGGACTCTTTCTTCAGCTTGATGGCATCCCTAGCTGTCGGTGTTCACCAGCGGGTTTGGGGATTGCCACCATGACAGGCACCTGCGGCTGCAGCTCCAGTCGGCCACCTCAACATTGGAAGTACGGAACATGGCCCAATCAGACTCAGTGTCCCTTGCCTCCCCCAGAACATTTTGGAAGTTCTGTCAGAAATGGGAATTTAAACTTCTTTTGACAGGATCAGACTCTAACAATATGTTTGGTGCCAAGAACACAGAAGTCCAGTAACAAAACACCACTCAAATTCAGATCAGGGGGCCGTTCCTCCCAACCACACCTCTCCAAGTCTCAGTGTCGTTGCACACGTGAGAGTTCAAGTCCCACAGCAGAACGAGGGAGTCACCAGAAGGAGTGCTCTCCAGCAACCCCTCCAAGGTCTCCAAAAAGGGTGGGTAGCCTGAGCTACAGTTTGGTGCATAAGCACAGACAACAGTCAGGACCCATCCCCATACACATAGGCAGAGGGGGACAACCCTCTCATTCACCGGGGTAAACCTCAACGTACAAGCACCAAGATGGGGGTCAACCAGTATGCTCACCTCTGCTTGGCGCCTCTCCGTTAGGACAACTCCAGAGTGGTAGAGTGTCCAACCCGTCTCAAGAAAACTGATTCTGCAGCCAGAGCCACGCGTCAAGGTGAGTCTAGCTATATCTAGTCGGAATCTCTCACCTCACACACCAACTCAGGCTCCTTCCCCAGCAGAGAGGTTACATTCCACATACCTAGGGCCAGCTTCTGTAGCCGAGGATCAGACTGCCAAGATCCCCGCCTTCGGCTGCCATCCGTCACACACTGCATCCAACCCCTTTGGCCCCTCCCACAATTGGTGAGCCCATGGGAAGGGGGACCCAATTGTCTTCTTTGGGCTGTGCCCGGACGGGCTCCATGGGCGAACTAGGTGCTCGCCAACGTGCCTTACCTCCAGGCCTGCCTCCAGAGTGGGTCCCCGGTAACCCGCGTCTGGGCGAGGGAACACTGTGTCCATTTATATTAATCATCATGAGGGGTCTTTGGGCAGCACTTTGTCTGATCCCTCACCTAGGACCTGTTTGCCATGGGGACCCTACTAGAGGCTTAAAGCCTCAGATCATTGGAACACTCAAACCCCTCCACCACGGTAAAGTGGCAATCCAGGGAGGGATAAAAAGTAAATCAGAGAAAGTTTAACAAGTAAATATTGTTGTTGTTGTTTCAAAGTTATAAACAAAACTTGAGGCATGTAATAAGTAACCACTTATCTAAATCCACTAAACTTGAATCCAGTGTTTGAACTTCAGAAGCTGGAGGTGGAAATTTCCTTAGAGTCTTGCAGGAGGATAGTCTCTTTTTCATATTTCTGACATGTGGTCTGGTGATATCTGAACTTTTGAAGTGCCATCATGGTTTCAGTAAAATGGAAAAAAAAAACCTGGGCTGCCAGAAGAAAATGGTTTGTGAAGGGCTCAAAAATGTTTCCAAAATATTCCTAATTTATTATTCAACCATAAAGAAAATCATCCACAAATGCATCAAAATTTACCATAAAAATGGGGGAAAATAATTTTCCATCACACATGACTGTAATAATGGCATGATTATTATGCCTTCTAACTCCAAGTTATCAGAAAAAGGACAACTACAAGATGTAAACCCAAGAAAACACAGAATCCACTGGAAGTGAAGCAATAGAGCAGAAAGGGTTTGTTGAATATTAACATAGGGGAAGAATGAATGTCTGCAGGTTGTGTTTAGGACATCACTGGTACACACAAGCAGAAGGTCAGATGCAGAGAGCAGTACAGGTGGCACAATGAGGATTTAGTTGTGAGGGAAGTGCCAGGATAAAATCACATTTGAGGTGAAAGTTTCACAACACAATCAATTTGGGAGGTGTGAATAAAAATTGGGTTGAAAGGTCAGGGTTGATGCAGGGTTCGTTTGATTTATTTTTTTTACCCTTGCACAGACGCTGCAACGCTGACTCAGACTTCTGTAGGCTGAGTTGTTACCAGGATTGTCAGCGCCTTTCCGCAACGACTCAACACTCCCAGCCTGACTGCCAATCGTCTCCGTCGAAAAGGAAAACAGAAAACAAAAGTTACTGTTCTTTATTCAAGATTTAACTGCTATTAAACTATTGCATAACACCCCATGGGAAAATCATTAGTTTAGAACTTTTCAGTTCTTTTGTACCTTGAAATATATATTTTTTAAAAACAAGAAGTATTTGAAACAACAAAAGACATCATCTGTGGCTGTCAGCACATGTTGAGCGAAATAAATAAACCTGAAGCAAAAAGTTATTTCTGTAGAAAAAAAAACTTTGATTATTTTTGATGCATGTGGAAAACAGAATATAGTAGCTGTTTGAAATCTTTGATATCTTTAAGAACATGAAGCTGGACAAACACCTTCATTAAACCTGTGTTGGTCTGGGATCTGCATGCTCCATTAGACTCATAACTTCTCTATCCACAGCTAATCTGGATGCATGTCTGTGCCTATGGGGTGGACGGTTTGTGACCTCAAACATCTCAACGGGACTAATTGTGTGACTGATCTCATGAAAGACAACAAATCTGCATTTACACAGAACCTAGCTGTAACTCTGGGATGTTTTCTGACCTCTAATCAGTTGTGATGATGCCTGGTCTCCATCTTTAGGTGAAAAAAAGACACTAGTCTCTTAGTTGTCTGTAAAGAAATGGATCCAGTTCACAGAGTATGACTGACCTATAAAGGGAAAGTAACTTTTATAGTTCTGTTTATCTTTAAAGGTGCATTATGTAATAATGAAGTAAAAATGACATCCTGTGGTAAATATTTGGTTACTGCAACCACTTTAAACCACTCTGGAGCTTTTTGCTGGCCGTCGTCAAATTACAACTGTCACGCTGCAGTGTTAGGTCGCAGGAGACATGGCAACCCCACAGCCACTGATGGTAAACAGTTACGTCCCTCCTTCCTTTGTTTTGAAAGGAAAAAAACTGACAATCCCCACAGCTGGATATGAAACATGCTTCAGTATAACCTTCCTTCCAACATGACTGAAACATCAGACTCTTTTGGGATTTTCTCGCTGTAAAATTCTCACTACATTCTTACATACTGCACCTTTAAATCTAGGACTCTGAATTTTATGTGTAAAGAAAGTTAAATCAACAGTTCTTAGTTCAACATATTTTGAGATTCACTGTGGGCTTTTCCCATCAATGTAATTTAAAAACAGACTATGAAGTTTTCACCTTTGGACATCAGTCATAATTCCAATAGATAAATGATGTGACATTTAAAAAGTGTATATGCAGACCTACGACACTGTAATAAAATAAACATATATATGTCTGTCTGTCCATTTATATTCTCCATATATATATATATATATATATATATATATATATATATATATATATATATATATATATATACACACACACACACACACACACACACACAATACTGTTTAGACATAACAGGAATCTTGAAAGGAAACCAAAATAAGAGATGCTTAGCATTAGCACTGTTGGCTGAGACAACAATGTTGCAGAAGAGTCTAACTGCCTTAAACAAAGTTATAGTTTAAGTTAAAAACTGCCAAAGGTAATGCTTTACTCTGTAATGTTTTAAAGTATTTTAGGTCTACAATATTTACACAACACACATTTGTCCAGTGAACATGAACCAGGCAAAGTAACTCAACAGAGACCAGAATCAGCCTGTCTCAACTGTTATTTCTTTGAAACCGTCTGTATACACTCAGCAGCAAAAGTATGAACCAGTGCTGTGAGGCCAGTGGAAAGGCTGAACCTCTATGTCAAATGCAGTGATGGAGATGAAGGTTCACAAAGCTGCTCACAGGTCAGTGCCCAGCATGGAAATGAGCCGAGCTGAAATGAGCAGATCTTCTTCATGTAATATGACAGCCAGCTGTAGCGTGTTGATGTTGTCAGTTCCTGAATATACAGCATGCCACAATAACAAGAGGCGTAAGTCGATGTTATGGGAGCTGACAAGGAGATGTGTGTGTGTGTGTGTGTGTGTGTGTGTGTGTGTGTGTGTGTGTGCACCTTAAATTTCTGGAATCTGATTCAGAGTGCAACAGTGCCAGTTTTTATGTTTCTCCTTTTGGATGCAGGGTTCATCTATGTATTTCTGCACAATTTGCTTACTATTCTCTGCTGTCGCTGCTTTTTCCTCAGCCTGATGAACTCCTTGTGTTGCCTTGAGACAAAGTTGACAGCTGCGTACTCCAGCAGGGCTGCGAACACGAACAGAAGACACACTGCCATCCAAATGTCAATGGCCTTCACGTATGACACCTGTGAAGGAACAACTAAATTAACCGCCAATCAAAACAGCTAATGGATCATCTGAAAGTCGTTCAAAGCTTGCGACTGCACTGAGACACATCCATGGGATGACCCAGAACAGAAATGAGTCAGCTGCTGGTGGACGGCTGACACTGAGCTGTAGGACAGGTCCCAACACACACTTGAGGGGTTTATGAAAAAAGATGTGTCACAGTGCATAAGCAGTGTCCGTGCTTCGTGTGGAAGCTACAGTCAATTAAGCCGCATTTTGCTGACTGTCACAGAAACACTGAAATTAAAAAAAGAAAGGGAATGACACATCTATTGTGCTTTTCCTAATTATTCTCTCTAACCTCATCATAAATCAGGATCTGCCTCACGCAGAATCAGCAAGTCATGACTAAATACTTCCGAGCAGTTTGCTCAAAACCAAATCCTCCTCCAATCGTTTCTATAACAAGCCTTGGGGATCACGGCAAGAACGGCTTTCACAAATATGTAACTGAGATTAAATGTCTGGCCTCTTTTCTCTGAAATGTTTCTGGTCTTGTCAGGAAACAAGCAGCCAAAAGGTGATGGTATTTTCAAATCATGAGACCTTTTTTAAAGAGAGTCAAAACAAAATGTCAGAATAATCTTCACTTTTAAACCTATATTTATAATTTATTCACTGACCTTTCGACTAAGCTGGTGGAAGTTTGTCATATCATCTTCTCCCTGCTGATATTTAGATGCCGTGTGTTTGCTTTTGAGTGCCTAGGGTCTACTTTAATTTAAGAAAGGCGCAAAATAGAATAAAACTTTGCAGCCAACACTGTTTTCATCATTTTACCTTTTTTTGCAGTGACTGAAACATTTTACATCTGCATATAACAAACATGTACTGCTTCTCATTGCAAACAGGTACGGTCATGGTCCCGTCTGCAGACTCACTTTGGGGAGCGATGCTCTGGAGCCAGAACTCTGTGTGGTCATCGTCAGCACGGTGGTGATACCCAGACCAACTCTGGCTGGCGCAGCGTCCATATTAATCCAAAAAGACACCCAGGAGAGGATGACGATGAGGAGTGAAGGGATGTACATCTGTATCAGGTAGTAACCCATCTGCCTTTCCAGGTGGAACTTTACCTCGATGCAGGTGAATTTACCTGCAGGCAACATTAAAACCCCCGTCACATGTGGATGTTTGAAATATTAATGTAATCTGAAAGGTCGTCTTTTGAGCACTCCAACCCACAGAGCACCTGTATTGTAGTGCTTCGTGCAGTAACCCAAATCCTTCTCTTCTTTCAGCACAAACTGTGGGAGGGTGAGATCATCAGCCACCTGAACGGGGTTGTCAGACAGCCATTCAAAGATCAGGTCATTCATGGTGTAACCGACTGTACAAAGAACATAGAGAGGACAAAGAAGATTTTAACCCAAGGAAAAATACTGAAAAATGTAAAATAATAATAATAATAATAATAAATAAAAAAAGTAAAGTGCACCTATTAAAATACAGCAACTGACTTTTTTCAGTGTGTAAAGAGCAGAGTAGTTACCCAGAATACGTCTGAACCAGACATTCTGGTTATTTCTTCTATGGATGAAACTCAGAAAATGTAATAAATTACCAGATTATTTCACTGATGATCTTCCATTTTGGTTTGCTATTTTCACCAAATAACACAATTTCCCTAACATTTAACTACAATATCTAACTTTACCAAAGAGCTAAAACAGCTTCAACTCATATAGGCCAGACAACAGCTTTATAACTGGTGATATGAATTTTATTTTGTAAGCACTAAAACAATTACATGAAAACAAAATAAAAACATTAACAAAATTTACATTTTGGCCTGAACAAAAGTCACAATGTTTCCGTCATTTGTTGCTTTAAACACGGCAGTAAACACACTACACTAAACCTGTATCTGTATCTGGTTCCTAGAAATGAAATCAGCATCAATCACACCATTCAGTAACCTCACCTGTCACACACAGGGAGTCAGTGTCAACTGGAACATGATTACTCCCATAAAAAAGGAATATTGCACTAAAAATAAAAGTGATCTCCCAGAGCAACTTTAGACTGATGTGCAGTGACCTTTTACCTTGAGGAAGACTTATACCATCCCATAAAAAAGGCCAAAGAGGAAGAAGGACCCACCAGATGGCATTGGTGAGAAAGGTCAGGGATTTCGATCCAATTTCAGCATTAAAAAAGTAAATTTGTATAGTGTGATCATTTCTTTATTGAAACAATAATCAAATCAACATTGAGACTGGTGGGTTACGCCGATTGTTTTTCCGATCACTGCATGCACTTCTACCAAATGTGGGTCCTTACTGCGCATGTCTGTTAGGTCATGGGTGGACATATACTTTACATCGGCATTTACGGGAGCTATGCAAACATTGTGGTTATCCTCCTGCCGTGTCCCTTCGTTATCATTTGCAAAAGTTTATTTTGTTTGGCTTGTTGATGTAAAACTGTGATCAGAGAAAAATAGCAACATTGTAACACTCACTTTTAAAGGCACAAAGCCATGTTTGAAGATTAAATAGTAGTTGCCACACACACTGGTGTGGTGTGGTGAAAATTGTTCTCTGCATTTGACCCATCCCTCGGGGAGTGGTGAGCAGCAGACACGGCCACGCTCGGGAACTATTTGGTGGTTTAACCCCCCAATCCAACCCCCTAAAGCTAATCAGGATTTGAAGTCTGATCTCCCAGTCACAGGGGGACACTCTAGGCCACAGGAGTCTTCTACTTCCCCTTTTATGGCTGTCTCTGTTATGGTGGATAGTTATGTGCTTGTCAAAATTATTTACCGTGATCAAACATGTGATGGAGGGAAACACTTGTGACAATCAGATACATTTGTTCAGGGCTCACATTCACGGTCAAGTCCGAACTATGATGAGATTAAAGACATTTAGCTCATGTAAACATGCCTAATGATTGTTGGTAATTAACCTTATGTCACTAGAAAGTCCCTGGTACAATGAGGTATAACTTGTAAGGATCTGTGAAATGGTCATAGCTAAATGTGTAGGTGGTTCGCCTACTGATCTGCAATATCCTGCTGTTGGTATGTGGTTTGAGTTCTGCCAAGTCTGTCCTGGTTTCAGCTGAGTGACTGGCACATGACTGACAGCTCTTGGACAGCTTGGGCATGCTGGAGTGACCAGAGTGAGCAACATCAATACGTTGGCTGATTTTAACATCTGGCTGAGAAATGGGATGCCCTTCTGCAGCACAATGGGATTAGGGCAGAGAATATAGCAAGATTTTTGCACATTTTTGAGGTGATACTATCGTCATGACAGCAGTAGCTCAGGAGGTAGAAGAAAATGCTGCTGTTGTGTCCTTGGGCAAGACACTTAACTCACCTTGCCTGATGGTTGTGGTAGGGACAGGAGGCGCCAATGTTTGGCAGTCTCGCCTCTGTTAGTGCAACCCATGGCAGCTGTGGCTACACTGTAGCTCACCATCACCATGTGTGTGAATTGATGGGTGACTGATTTTGTTGTGAAGCGCCTTGGGGGGTTGTAGAACCCTAAGAAGGCGCTATACAAGTACATGCCTTTTTTACAATTTAAATGTTTATCTGTGGTATTCATTCAACAGCTGCCCCATCCTTATCATTTTAAGCTCTTTGTAAAGGTGACTGATCAGGCTTTCCAATGGAGTGTTGTTACAACATAGAGATTTTGTATGAAATCTGTTCATGAGAAAACCTCACAAATCTCAGCTTGCAAGCACATTTCATGAACCTTAGTGATGTAATTTCTCCAGCTACAAAACCACATCCATGTCTGTTGTAGGTATAGCTGAGATGTCAAACATATTTCCAAATAAAAGAATATCAGAAATGAGAGACATGTCTACCTAGTGATTGATACTTAATATATTCCCGTAGAAATACCCCAATAGTTTCTAGCTTACAGATGAAATGTGTCAGAACAAACTAACAAATAATGTATGGCATGTGGTTTCACTTGCAGCAGTGGATTATGTACATCAATCAATGTGCTTCAAGGATTTGAAACACAAATGTCTATACATCTCAATTTGCATGACTCTTGATGGTTGGACTCACGCTGCCCAATTATTAATTTGATGAAAATACAACACACAACAGCTGCATACACTTCCTCGCACATCTGAATAATACGGATGTCTACGGGGAACCTTTAGAGAATGAGCAACAAAGACATCAATTATTCAAGACGTTACACTCTATGCTGTAGCGGCCGTCTGAGAAACAGCTCCCCTAAAACACACTTATTTTGTTCCTGAAAAGAATTCTCCGTCTCTCCCACATCCTCCCACAACAACTAAGGGGAATACCAATGCTTTCCAAAGATAATGAAATGTTCCTTTTTGCTTCTGCCAATTATAGCTGTAAGGCCAACCAAACATAACTGACGCAGCATTCGAGGGGGAATAAAAATGAAACTCATGAGCCAGTCAGCATGTCTAGAATATTGTGGCAAGGTAATGACCATTCTCCGTTTCCTCGCGTTTGAAAGTCGTTCTCCTAATGAAGGCCCAAGCAGTTACTGTTCTGCCTCACATTTATTGTCTTTGTCTGCTCCCTCTCTACACTGGTTACTTCTCGTTCTTTTCACTTAACGTAGAAGTTACAAAGTATATTTGAGGGTTCTGCACACTAATTGCTCCAGGCAAAGCAAACTGTTTAAAGCCGAGGCTTTGATGTGTCAGAATTCCATTGTTGGCTGTAGAGTCCATTGCATAAAAGGTCAGAAAGTAAATTTGGCCCCGGTTCACTTAAACCTCAAAGATATATTTCTTTTTTTTCATGCAGAACAGATGGTGCTGCCACATCTGCAGCACCGACAGTAAAACCTTTAATGTCCTTTAAACATTAGAGTCTAGCCAAGGTGATCGCACCCTTGGGTGGTATACAAGCACTTGTCAACACAAGGCCAAGCATCCTCAGTAGGCCCTTAATCAGAAATGATTACCGCTCATCTGAGGGCAGCAGAATGTGAAACACTTCCCTAAAAATCTATTTACCTAACTGTTTCTTTTACACCTGTTTTAAAAACTCAGATTTTTAAAAACTCTTTTAACATCATGCTAATTTGTTTGTTACTGAAACAGAAAAATATCGCCTTTAATCATCTGTGCAGGAAAAATGCTGCTAGTTTTCTGTTTCGCTCTTGGCTGAACTAAAAATCCGTCCGATGGAGATCTAAGTCACCTCTAGGCACTGAGGTGGGTCACGTATAATAAAAGGGACTCTGAATTAAAGTTTTATTATTTATATCCAGGAAATTGCTTTCATGAGGGCAGATACTATCGCTGCCAAAGGTGGAAGACTTCAAGGGGAAGATGTCATTGCTGTTATCAGTTCAAGACAAATTTAAACCATTTTGTAGCCTTTGTCTTTTAAACTCACTGGTTTTGATAAATATTCAATTAAAAAACAAAAACACTGTGTAGATTCTACGTCTATTCATTATTGTTTCTATGACACAACTTATTGAATTATTTTTTAGATTTGATTTATGATTTAAAAATAGAGGGTTTGTATCAGAAAGTCTGTACTTTCTGCTCAGTTTTGTTCTGTGAAATGTCAGCTGTCAGAGCCGACTAACCTCCAGCACATCACATAAAACTTGTTTGTCAGGGCTGTTGGCATTAGACTGTAATACACTACACCCTGAAGCAATTTTTGTCAAAGAATAGGCCTAATGTTGGAAAAGGACAGATTTTAAATAAAAGCATGTTGTTTTTACCTTAAGGTGCATGTAGCATTGTGAATAAATCTGTGTATGCACACATACAAAAATGTGAATGTGGATTATTTTGACCAGATTTCCAAATGTCCTGTGCCATTTAGAAGATGGAAAACCCAATACACAGGTCTAAGTTTCACTCTCAGTTTTTGACAAGAATAAGTAATTTACCCCCTAATAAATTGCTTTAGATCCCGGACCTGAACAGGCGGAGTAGACGGCTCTGGAATCGCTAATAAAACAAATTTAAAAATCCCATTTTAAGACCAGGTTCACAGAGAAACCCTTTTACTTTTTAATCTTTGAAATACAATAGATCACTCTGAGCTTAACATGCAGGCTGAGCACGAAAAATAGTCTTCTACCCCATAACCCGCTGACAGATAGTAGACGAAGACACGCTCGGATTAGAATTGATCAGATCTACGTCACACTGAATATTAGCATTCATGGACTCATCCATCATAAGTCTGGCTGTTGTTGGTTTAGCGTCCAGGAGAGAGCAGTGGGCATCTTGGCTAGTAGAAGCTAACCATTAGCATTAGCAACTCCACAGTTGCGGTTAATGATGTGAATTGGTGTTGCGGTCGGCAACAAGATGGCACCTGTGCTTGGCTTAGCCGCAGTCACCAGCCACTTTTTCAAACTTTTCTCCACCAACCTCCTCTTTTCCACCTTGCTCCTGCGATCCTCTTCAGTAGTGTCCCTGCTACCATCTCCTATGATCGCCAGACTCTTTTGTCCTTCCGTTCGTTCACGATCGCCCAAGATGCACCGAGGATTTACCATCCTGTTTGTTTACCTGAGCGGCGCACTGGCCCGGAGCCAAACAACGGTCCCGAGCTGCCCGCCTCCGGCTATGTTTGTCCGGTCCCGGGAAAACGTCGGAGGAAAAGAGGTAAATGAGCAGGAATCCAGATGAGAGTAAGACTTCTCTTAAAGCGTGGTTTATCTAGTAAACATCGGCGCGATCTTCTAGCTTCTTGTCCTTTGTTTGGTGACCTGAGCGCCACTTCCGCATTCCCGCCAGGCCGCATTGCAGCGCGGTTAATCCGTCCAAGTTTTTTAAGGTCAGTTTATCCTCATTCCTCAGTGGTTTCTCCTCCTGTTCCCTCCATGAGTGGTTTTTATAAACACCGTGGATCTAACCCCGCTAATTTACGTCCATTAACTCCAGCTGTTTCTGTAGTTTCTGATTCCTCCACCTCACTCAGCATGGCTCTATTAAAAACCTGCTCTGTTAACAATAAGTCCTTCCTGCTCAATGATCTAATTCTCTCTAAAAACCTGGATTTTCTGTTTCTGACTGAAAATTGGCAGCAAACATCTGATTATTCTGGTCTGATTGAACTCTGCCCGAGTGGTTATTCTTTTCTTAGCCAGCCCCGGGGTTCTGGTCGTGGTGGAGGCCTAGCTGTTGTTTTCAGAGACCATCTTCCATGTAGCTCTACAACCTCTGGTCACTTTGCTTCCTTTGAAGTGCAGCTGATTAAAGTCGGGCGTAAGGACCCGTTCTACTGTGCTGTGGTGTATCGTCCGCCTGATCCAAACAGTTCTTTCCTCCAGGAGTTTAGAGACTTTCTGTCCTCCACTGTGAAGCTGTCCAGACTGGAGATTGTTGGTGACTTTAACATCCACATTGATGATCCCTCTGATCACTTTGCCATGAATTTCTCCAGCCTTATGGATTCCTTCAGCTTTACTCAGCATGTTTCTGGCCCCACACACACCAGGGGGCACACTCTAGACCTTGTTTTTACCCTGAGTCTAAATGCTGACAGTGTTTGTCCTGAGGACGTTTATATTTCAGATCACCATTGCATTTTTTTTAACTTGTCAGTTTCTGCGTCCCCACCTCCTGCTCGTCGTATGGTTAGTTCTTGTTTTCTTAATGAGAGCACAGCTAGCAATTTTTCCGCTGCTTTTAATCCACGCTGTTCTTCTGATAACGACCCAGATTCCTTAACTTCTCAGTTTAACGAGCACTGCCTCTCCATTCTGGACAACATCTGTCCTGTCAGAACCAGATCAGTTTCTGCAGTGAACCCTACTCCCTGGTTTAATGACAGCCTTCGCAGCCTAAAGCGCCATTGCAGAAAAATTGAGCGTTTGTGGAAGAAACCCATCTCCACATCCATCTGCTGCACCTAAAGGATCTTCTGACATCCTTTAACTCTGCAGTCAGAGATGCAAGGGTTTCCTATTTTTCCAACCTGGTGTCCCAGAGCAAAGGGAACCCCAAGGTGCTGTTAAACACCATCAGCAGCATCGTCTCTCCTGCCTCTCCTACAGCCTCCATCCACTCTGTTACAGACTGTGAGAACTTTCTGTCTTTCTTTGTGGACAAAGTCAATAAGGTTAGATCTAGCATCTCTCCTTCAGCCTTATCACTGCCTCTCCCGACTCCAACCAGGCCCCTCATCCTAGATAGCTTTGCTCCTGTTTCTTTGCCTGAGTTACCCAAACTAGTTAACTCTATGAAGACCTCTGCATGCCCCCTTGACATCTTACCCTCATCTTTGTTTAAAAGTGCTTTTCAGTCCATCGGTCCCAGCGTGCTCTCTATAATTAATGCTTCTCTGGTTTCTGGTCAGGTCCCTGCTTACTTTAAGAACGCTGTAATCCACCCGCTTCTTAAAAAACTGAGTCTCGACCCCTCTCTCCATAGCAGCTTCAGAGCCATCTCTAAACTTCCATTCATCTCCAAGATCTTGGAAAAGGTTGTGGCTAAACAACTCACAGCTGCTCTTGATCAACATAACATCTATGATAGCTTCCAGTCAGGTTTTCGTAGAGCTCATTCTACTGAAACAGCTCTTCTTAGGGTCTCTAATGACCTTCTGACTCACAGTGATGCGGGGGACTGTTCCGTTCTGGTTCTGCTGGACCTGACTGCAGCCTTTGACACTGTTGACCATCACCTGCTACTGGAGAGACTCAGAGACTGGGTAGGCCTATCAGGAACTGCTCTGGAGTGGTTCTCCTCTTATCTCTCTGAGCGCTCCTTTTCTGTGGCCGTCTCCAAGTTTGGGTCCACCACCACCTCTCTTACCCATGGTGTCCCACAAGGTTCTGTGCTGGGGCCTCTGCTCTTCCTCCTCTATCTGCTTCCTCTTCAGCACATCCTGATCTCCTTCAAAGGAATCTCCTACCATCTTTATGCAGATGACATCCAGCTGTACATCTCCTTTAAGCCCCATGAGATGTATAAGCTGCAGCTGTTACACACCTGCTTAGATTCTATCAAAACCTGGATGGCTGGGAGCTTTCTTCAGCTGAATGACCCCCAGACTCTGGAACTCTCTCCCCCTGAGCCTGAGATCAGTGGACTCAGTGAACTCCTTCAAAAAGCAGCTGAAGGCTCACTTGTTCAAGCTGGCTGTTGTATAACCTTCTTCACCTCTCTCTCTCTTTATTCTGCTCTCCCCACCTATTTCACCTTCCTCAGGATCCACTGATTTCCCTCTTTCCTATTCACTCTCTCTCTTTCTTAACATTTTTTAATCACAATTTGTCTATTTTTGCTCATTTTAAATATATTAACCATGAATTTTAAATGTCATAGGGTAAAACCCAGTGCATTTAACGTAATGCTGCACTTTAGAAAATGGGTTGAAATATAACATGTTGGTGGAGCTGGGTTCCGACTATCGGCTTGTGGAGCTCTCGGGAGACCGATGTTTTCCACCTGTTTTCCCCTCCCCGCAGCTCGGCGCATCTCTGTCTGATCGCGGCTTCTGTGTGCTGCGCGGGCTGCCGGCTTGTGGAGCTCTGGGATGGAAACCTTTCCACCCGGCTCTCCCCAGCGGCAGCTCTGCGCATCTCAGATCCCAGCGGTGCTTGTCTGCTGTGCGGCTGCCGGCTTGTGGAGGTCTCGGAGACCTCTGTATTTCACCTGGTTTTACCCAGCGGTCACCCTGGCGTATCTCTGACTCAGAAGCGCTGGTGTTGTGCAGTTAACTCCGGCTGTAGCTAGGTTGCTACTTCCATTAGCTTAGCTCCCACCTCCGCATTAGCTTTGGTTTAGCTTCAGGTTAGCTTGTAGCTAGTTTGACCGGGTGTCGTCAGTTGATCCCAGCCTTACAGCCCCACCCTCAGCTCCTCCTCTCTTCCCTTTTATGGAATTGTCTGGGCTTGACAGAACCTGTGACACGGTCAAAATGGCGGTGGTGGCCACCTCCCATTTTAGCACAAAAACGTGTTATTGGAGTCTATGGAAACACATTGTCCATATATGTATGTCGATGATAACAACTCACTTTTTTTACCAACCACAGAAATAATCTACATATTGCTGCAATTTCAGGATCACAGCATGCTCATTAACATCCTTCTCGAACAGCAGGAGACTAATGTCTTTTACTAGTAGCTTTGCTGCAGGACTTTCGGTTTCTACAATATTCCTCAATAATTCCACTGATGGATTCATTTGATTGACAAGCACTACTGCATTATTAGAAAAAAAGAGGGGAAAAAACACATGACATTGTTAGCCAGGCAAAAGTTCCCAGCTATGAAACCACAGAAAGGATAAAGGAGGACAAAGGAGAATAAAATAAGAGGAAGAAAGGAAAACTCACAGCTTTCAAGCTGCATGGTACAGGTCTGAATGTCCATTGGGAAATTCTTCAAGTCCATAGGGCAGGACAGAGTTAGAGTCAACCTGAGACACAAAACAGATTGGAAGAGAGAAGAGCAGCTATAGAAGATGTTAGAAAACACAAAGAGACTCAAAGAAAAAGACACTGGACAAAAGGAGGCATGGTAGGTAAGCAGATTAAAGAAAAATGAACAGCAAAACGTGCCAGGCATGAAGTTTATCTCTATAATGAATTAATAAAAGAAGAAAAACATATCAGACTTTTTCTGTAACAGTTGATTGTAAAACATCTTGTGCTACTGTTTGATACCTCCCCACCTATCAGCAACAGAAGAGTAATTGGTGCAGGCGGTCTGATTTTATTTGTTGTGCTGCTGATGAATTTTGTCTTCAGGGATTTTTTAAAGAAGACAGCGCTAGAGCTATTTGGGAGTCTGTCTGGAGGAAAGCTGTGTAATTACCTGCTATAATGCATTGCCTGAAGGCAAAATAGGAGCCTCCAGTAACACACACACACACACACACACACACACACACACACACACACACACACACACACACACACACACACACACACACACACACACACACACACACACACACACACACACACCATTGTTAATGTGTTATTATGACACAATATATTTTCCAGTAGCAAAAGAACAAACTCCAAGTACGGCATTGATTATATATTTCTATCACTGCTTAAGTGGTGTCATGTTTTGAAGTCAAACAATAATAGTTTATCCATGATTTAAACAGTTAGTAAGCAAATCAGTTCAGCTGATGATGTTGATTAGAAATAATATTGTTCTAATTTATGTTGACAGCTATGCTACATGTCTGCCGGAGACTACCTTAAGAGTTTGCTGCTTTTTTTACAATTTTGACTAGAACTGCATTAAAGATACTGGAATGTGATTCTCAATAGGGACCAGTGAGCAATTCTTTTGACCTCAATGACCCTATTAAGGAGATGGTCCCAATGCACAGGAAAAAGAGGTCAATGTCCTTGCATATGCAAACGCTCCAACCATGGGTAATTGTAGTAGGGTCATTGAGGGAATGTGCTGCTGACGTACAGAGTGGTAAATGTTCAGGAGGACATGTTATTTGGTGAGTTCTATGATTGCTTTCACAGTGAATTATGTTTTTAGGGGCTCAGGTTTATGAGTTTGCTCTGTAATCAAAGGGTGGCCAGTTCTAACCCAGTCTCTGTCCGTGTCAGTTGTTGTGTCATTGAGCAAGGCACTTCACCCTGCTTACCTTCTGCTGGGATCGATGGTGCCTGTGTTGGTGCCTCGCCTGTGTGCCCCAGAGCAGCTATGGCTACAATGTAGCTCATCACCATCAGTGTGTGAATGTGTGTGTCTGAATGACTGTAGTGTAAAGCACATCGGAGTCCTCAGACGCAGAAAACTGCAAGTCATTTATTGTTTTTCAAATTTGTTGTTCTCTTTCTCGTTCATGTAGAGCCTAGCAGGGTTGCAGGGGCTCTTAAAATGTCAATATTTGTGTGTTTTCTCTAGTAAAGAATCAAGAGCCACCCCTCACTCTCCTCTAAGGTGTGAATTACACAGAGGCTTCCAGGGGAGAGAGCTTTATTCTTGCCTTGGCCCCTAAAATACCTTCAAACGACACTAGGTGTATCAAATATATAATTATTACATGCCTATAAATGATTGCTTTGGAAAGTTAAAGTAGGATAAATCTACCTACATTTTCCTTTTCAAACACTATTTTCGATGTCCTGTGTGCCTCTGATCTTCCTGCATCTTCTCTCAATCCTACAGAAAAACTGCTGCCCGTATATTTTCACCTCATGAGTTACTTTTGAACTGAACAGTTCTAAGGGATCTATCAGCCGCAGACATAGCAGAGTACGCGCTGCTCGCCGGCCGCACCAGTGAGGCAAACTTACAGGAGCACAAGACAGGTGATGCGTTCCGCAGAACCAAAGCGCATCAGGCACAAATAAAAGACAGGAAGCACCAGAGGAAATGAGTCGACATAAACAACTGTGTGTTAATTTTTTGGAGTGACGACACTTTGAGAACATTACTGTGGCTGTGAGAAGGACGCAGATAAGAAGCACATCAATGATCCATGTTCTGAGTCCTCTCTGTTCAAAAGAAACCCTGGAGAGTCCACATAAATAATGTAATATAAGTAATGTAAGTAGGACCAGGATCGTTTTTCTGGCTCTCCCTGGGTGGGTAAGTTTAAGTTTAACAATGATGTTCTGCTGAGCTGTGGTAGCCTCATGGAGGGGGGCCATCGTCTTGATCACTGTTGCTAACCATTTAACCCTCCCACTGTCCTAATGGGTGTGACCTTTCGAGGAAAGTTGACCATTGAGCAGGATTGATGGTTTATCCCTTGGGTCCATGTGGCAGGGATGAGGAGTGAGCACTACCTCACCCCTGCCACGTGGACCTTGAGGTCCACTGACTACTAGTCAGTGACTCGATGCAATTTGCTGGGTTCCTTATATAGGAAACTTTTTTCTGATTGGCTTAATGAATTCACCTGTATTGGAATGTTTATTGTGTGAAGTGCCTTGAGACGACTCTTGTCGTGATGTGGCGCTATATAAATAAGCTTGAAATGAATTGAATTAAGGCTTCCAGGGGAGCCCATCACCCTTTAGGTTGAGCCAGGCTCCCCTTAGCTCCCCGTTGATTAGAACCCTGCCCTCCTCATACTAATGTTGTTTGAGTGTGCACCATATGGTACAAATTTCTTGAGTCATCTTACAGTTTTTATTTTTCTTCTAAACTGCCAGACATTCAAGTAATTATAAAAATGTTCGTAATCAATAGTTTTATTATTTTCTTTCCAGCTCCTGTACCTGATGACATCACGCTGTGCAGTGTTTTTTAGTTTTAGTTTTTTTCCATTAGGGGAGTCCGACTCACATTCTCAAGGCCCATCTGCTGACCTTCAGAGGTGTTTCTACTCTAAAACAAAACAAGTCCATTTAGATCAACTGTGTTTTATAAATTAGTGACCTGTGTTGTAACTCCTGCAGCTGCAGGTCAATTGTTCCCTTTGTGTCATTCTTTTATCTGTTCATAGCCCTGCAGCACCAAGAATCTTTGCTTTTTAGTTCTGAAAACATCACTTTCTTTACATACCTGATGCTGTAAAGAACGCTGCCATCTTGGAAAATCCGTAGCAGCTTATTATCAGTCGTGACCTCATGGAAATTGGCTCCTTTCTCGTTTGCGAAGAATAAATCAGGTTTCCAGATAGAGTCTAGCATGGACGGGTCCAGATCTAGAGAGTCATCTGGGTATTCACTATATGCCAGGCGGGGGTCATTCCATTTTTGCCGTAGAAAGACGTTGAGCCTGTAGTCCTGTAGAAGAACTCAGGGTTGTTAATGGAAAATATATCACAAGTGGAGGTTAAAGTACAGATTAAAGGCTTAGAATAGAACTTCAGACATGGCAGAGGACACATGAAAGAAGAGAGTCACTGCCTTTACTTAGATTGAAACTTTTAAATTCATTTAGTAGTAATATTTAATAAAATTTTTTATTTTATTTGCAATATCCCTTTAACCCTAGTTTATTTGCTATGTGGTCACCATCATCTCCAAACATTGCCTCACATTTCTGAGTCGCAGAGATTACATTTTGACGGAGGGGAGAAGGATTTTAGATGGTAAGTGATGCAACATAAATGACTTTACAACTTTTGCTAATTTTAACAGGACATGCACCATGACACTCCTTAGAAAAGTGAAAACCTTTGCACATGTTTTGAAACCATGTGGAAACCTCTCATTTGTCACCAACAATTGTTTAAACACTTTATAAAAATATAACTGAGGAGCATCACAGTAAATATCACAATTTTATAAGCATTGCTATCTGTTTTAATTAGGGGTGGGAATTTAACATATAAATTATAATTAATTAATTAGAAAAGATACGCATTCAACCACATCCCTTGGGGGGCCCTGTTTTTTGGGGGGGGGGGGGGGTGTCTCTGGGAGTATGGGGTACCAGGCCCTTTGATACTGTCACTGATTCTGTTCATTCCTTTTATGGACAAGATTTACAGACAAGGTGTTGAGGGGATCCACTTTTGTGGCCTGAGGATTGATTCTGTTTTCTGTAGATGATGTGGTCCTGTTGGCTTCATCGGAACATGATCTTTGGCTTTTGCTGTAGCAGTTTGCAGCCGAGTGTGAAGAGGCTGGCATGAGAATGAGCTCCTGTAAATCCAAGACCATGGTATTGAATTGGAAAAGGGTAGAATGCCCTCTCCGGGTCAGGGATGAGGTCCTGCCTCAAGTGGAGAAGTTTAAGTATCTCGGGGTATCTCTTGTTGTCTTGTTCACTTGTTCAATAGGTGGATTGGTGATGCGTCTGCAGTGATGCAGGTGTTGTACCGGTCTGTCGTGGTGAAGAGAGAGTTGTGCTGGAAGGCAAAGCTCTACGTCGATCTAACATTCCTAGCCTCACCTATGGTCATGAGCTCTGGGTAGAACGAGATCGTTGGACTCTCCCTTAGAGATAGGGTGATAAGCTCGGTCATCCGTTCAGGGGCACCTCCAGAAAATTTTGATGGGTGGCCAGATAGGGCCAAATATTTTTTTGGGGTGGCACACCAAATTGGTCCTTGTGGTAACTCTGGGAGAGTTTGCCTGTAGCGGTGTATTGCATTGCTTCTTCATTCATTTTTCTTAAAAAACAGTACATACTGTATCCAAAACATTTAACTTAAATTTTACAAACACAAACATTTCAGAAAAATAAGTTTGTTATTAAACATTTTTTTTAGTTTTGTTTTAAAATGTATAGATTTTTTAGTTTAATTCACCTGTTGCTGTGCTCACAAAAAACTATGGCGATAAAAACTTTTTTATAATGGTGAACAGCAGAAACATGTTTTTTTTTAAATTCAGTTTATTTCTTTACTCAGTAATTGTTTTGTTTTACAATTATGTCTGGAATAAATAAGATCAATTTATGGTTTGAGTGAACATTAATATGATTTATTAACACCGGCTTTTGCTGGGGGGGGGGGGGGGGGCAGCCATTTTCTAGGGGGCGCTATTGCATCTAGGAGGAGCTTGGCGCAGACCTGCTGCGCCAGTTGAGGTACGAGGTACCTCGGGTATCTAGTTATCATGCCTCCTGGACGGCTCCCTCGTGAGGTTTTACGGGCATGTCCAACTGGGAGAAGACCTAAAGGAAGACCCATGACATGCTGTAGAGACTATGTCTTTCTGCTGGCCAGGGACCACCTTGGGATTCTCCTGGAGGAGCTGGCCCAAGTTGCTAGGGAGAGGGACGTCTGGGCTTCTCTGCTTAGGCTACTGCCCCATTGACCCGACTACGCTTTATAGAATTATCCCTTGAGCCCGAGCTCCCCCCAATTGGGGTGGTGTAAAAATCTAGAAGACAAAATGTATGCCCTATATATCAATAATGCAATCAAGCTGCATCTCTAAAAAGACAGCAGAGCCTGGTCTACAAGACCACATTTACCTTTTTATCTGCTACTAACACAACTAAAACTGCAGTTAAAGGAATCATGACAAATCACTCTTGATGAAGAAAAGAAAGAATGAAAAAAATCTACTTCCTTGCTGTTATGTGTTCTAGTTGTTAGAAAGCAGTCAGGCACTACCTTTATCCATATGGACATTATTACAGCAGGAGGGACAAGCACACACACCATTCATTTTGTAACCATCAGCAGAACTTCCCCTGAACTCTACACTACACCTCCATATATAGTAAAGGTGCTCTGCTCCCACCTAGTGTTCCATTCAGTACACAACATTTACAATGTTCCATGTTCATTTAAACTTCAGCAATAACACATATACTAATATTTACACATATCAACAAATATCACAATAGTTGCCTTTATGACAAGACCAAAGTAATCCAACAGGCCTTGTGGTTACAGATATATAAAGCATGGGTATGTCATCTTTGCCTCAGTAACATCAGTTTTAATAAAATAATGCTTTGGGGGCTAGTTGCCTCAAACAATTAAATATGATTACTCAAAATGTATCAGTTACAAAGCCTTTAATTAATTACATGTGTTTTTTAAATCGAGTCCCACCCCTAGTTTTTACTTGACCAAATTTACAAATTTTCAAAAGAGAGCTTGTTCTTTTGTTTTCACAAGTTGCTGCGTTTCCCATCAGGAAAAATTCGTTAGATAATAAAAAATGTTCTATACAATTAATAGTCAGTTTGTCTTTGGGAATTGTAGATTTCTGTTATTCTTTCTTGCTTGTTTCATTCATCAGAATATGTTTCATCCACCCACATAACATCATTAGTGTTCTTCTCTGGGGAAACATGGCTCTGGATCTCCTTCTTTTCCCTTATTTAAACAGTTCAGTGCTGGATCACGCTGACCCAGCAGCAATAACACTATAAATGCAGACCTCCTCTCTCCCCTCTGTCTTTTCTTTCACTTTTTCAATTTTTCATTTTAATTGCTGAGTGGACAGTTCATTATCAGCGTGTCAGTGACCCATCGGTCTCTGAAGGTTGCAGCATTATGCTCCAGGAAACAGAAACGAGAGAATACCTTTAGCACCAAGATGATTCATAAAGAAGATGGTGAAGGTAAAGAAAAATGTGTTTGCATTTTTTTCTGCATAAACTGAAAAAGGCAACAATTATAATGTCACAATGCATATTTCACATTCATGTCCAAATACGAATGCATCTAAACTGTTTTACGTAGCAGGTTTATGCTGTTTCTTCACCATTAAATGCAACATATGAAATCTTTGGTCTACTTACCATTGTAGTTTCTGTGATCGACCCAAAACTGTTGATGAAAATATTGCAGGTGACATTCACAGGAGGGCCTAGGGGGGGAACAAAAGACTGAATGTACACATTGCTCCCTTATGATCGTATTATTAGATTAAAGTGGTGTCCACATTAAATATACCTATTAAACTAAACATCTCCAGAGGTTTCAGAAAATGTCAGCAGTTTCTTCATCCACTTCCCGTTATGGAATTGTTGCAGCCGTGAATGCTGCAGTGAATCATGTCACCGTGTTCAGCTGTGATCTGGAGTTTTACTCCCTTTTTCAAACTTCTCACTTATCCTCAAAGTATGATGATAGTGAGAGCTTAAAAAAATGTAACATGAAAGAAAAGTTTGACTTTCTAAAACCACAAAGATAGCAGCCATGAAGCATTTACTGACTTTCTGCTAACTGAGAAGATCAGTTTTTAACATAATTGTCGGTTGAAGTTATCTTTAGGCCATCAAGTTATTCTCAAGATAGTTTATATTCCAATTTTAAAATCTACAAACCGACCGACCGATCAATCAGTCAATCAATCAATCAACCAATCAGTCGATCAATCAATCAATTAATAATGAATATAGCAAATTTCACACATGTGATGGATTCATGACATTTTCTTGAGGAACCATGTCTGAAATGTTAACAAAACCCTTTTAGCAAAGTTCCCTGATTTTACTACAGACAATACTTTTTTATTAAAAGGGCATTACAAGAAGGGTGTATTAATTGCATGGCTGACCATGTAGTGCCTTACTGTCTTTCCACAAGTGTAACAACATTGAAGGTATTTTGAAATAAATTCAGCGGTCATTACACCAAACTCTGACTTTATTCCACACCTTTGATGTACTACAAGCAAGACATCCCAACTTTTGCATCATACTCCAGCCAGCTGAAGTATTTGCAGAACTGAGACTCTGCCTCACATAGAGAATCTTGTTTTGTCTTGAAAGTATAAAAATGCAGAACTGGGCGTTGGTCTTCAACTTCCCACTTACCAGATAGTGAAGCTTAGTTAGAAGTCTGCTGTACAGGTTTACGACATGCAGTGTAACCAAGAAACAGCAGTGACATGCTACCATGGCAACAAGAAAGATATCAACATGTTATACAAAAATGAAAAAGAAATGGGGAATTAAATACAATAATTCATTTAAATCACTTTTAATATTATAACCAATTAGTATCTATGTGTGACCAAGCAGTAACGAGTCAAATTAAATAGATTAACCCGTTGTAGACTATTGTCCTGAGTTAGCAATGGTCAGCTTTTCACAGAACACACATATTTATTTACTTCTGTTGTTCTTGTGTTTGAGCCTTTTATTGGATTTTCTTAAGGGTTTCTGTGATGTTCTGCCTTGGCATGCACCATACCTTTGAAGTTGGGTCTGATGCGGGCATCGTACCCTGATGTTTTCCCCATGAGCTTGTCCAGGAAGTCTGAAGGAGAAAGCTGTGGTCCAGCCCTGCTGGGGGGCTTTATCTCTTCCTTACAGGAGCTTAGTCTGACATAACCCAGCAAAAAGGCAAATAAAAAGAAAAAAAACTGTGAGAAACTGTAAAAAAGGGGTGTGAGAAGCAGGAGTGGTACAGGAAATTATGAAAATACAACAAAATGAGTAAAATAATCATCAAGTCAGTAATAAGCAAAAAAAAAAAAAACTACAGGTGAAGGGTTTGCCTCTGATCAATGTAGCATAACCTTATTCTTATAGAGAATGAATATTAGACCACTGGTAACCCAGTCCCTTTGCTGTTCCTCCCACTGCTGGTGGCTTAGCATGAGTAAGACTGACACATTGATGGCTCAATTGTAATGCCATAAATGTCACACAGGGAACAGGACTGTGGACTGGAGCTCCACAGAAGCTTGTGTGACCAATAACAGGAATAACCAACAGGCACAAGGGAAAGTAAAGACAAGATGGATATCAGGGACCTTTTAAGGGAAAGAAAAATAAAGGAAAATACTCCTTAAACCATGAAGCCTCAGCTCATAAAGATTTTGCTTTGGCCCCTGCTGTGGCACAACATATTGCACCCATGAATTTGATCCAACTGTTAACAGTTTACAATCCGTCATGATCTAAGCTCTGTAGTACAGATGGCAGGTTCAATCCCAGAAAAGCTTTGGTGGAGGCCTGTGTTGTTAGGAGTGTGTGTGGAAGCAGTCACTGATCCATCAATCTCACAGCCTCTTAGCTGAATCCAGATGAAGACTCACTCCTGGTCCTGGAGGGCTGGTATCTAGCATGTTTTGGTTTTAACTTTGCTTGAACACATCTGATGTCAATCAGCAGGTGATTAACAGGCTTCTGAAGAGCCTGATGAGCTGCTACACAGATATTTCAACCACTGAATTAGGTGTGTTGATGCAGAGAAACAAGAAAAGCATGCTGGATACCGACTCTCCAGGTCCAGAAGTGAGTACCGCCGGTCTACATTATTGAGCACTGAAATGACGCTTTGATGTATTTGCTTTATTATGGGGTTAAAAGACATTCAGCTAGGTTAAACAGCTAAAACTTTCAACTCCTCTAAATCTGGGACCATGGTTTTGAGTTGGAAAAAGGGTAGAATGCCTTCTCCAGGTCAGGGAAGAGGTCTTGCTTCAAGTAAAGGAGTTTATGTATCTCAAGGTCTTAGTCACGAGGGAAAGATGGAGCGCAAGATCGATAGGTGGATCGGTACAACGTCCGCAATGATGCGGGTGTTGTACCGGTCTGTCATGGTGAAGAAAGAGCTAAGCCAGATGGCGAAACTCTCGATTTACCGGTCAATCTACGTTCCAAACCTCATCTAAACACACAAGCTATTGGGTAGTGACCGAAAGAACGAGATCACAGATACAAGCGGCCAAAATTAGTTTTCTTTTCAGGGTGTTTGGGCTCTCCTTTAGAGACAGGGTGAGAAGCTCGATCATCCAGGAAGGACTCAGAGCAGATCAGGAGCCAGTTGAGGAGCCTCGGGCATCTGGTTATGATGCCTCCTGGACGGCTGCCTTGTGAGGTTTTCCGGGAGAAGACCTGAAGGAAGACCCAGGGCACTCTAGAGGGACCATGTTTGTCAGCGGGCCAGGGAGAACCTTGGAATTTCTCCAGAAATGCTGGCCCAGGTGGCTGTGGAGAAGGATTGTGGGGGTGCAGTTGGTAACATTGTTGGTTCGCAGTGAGAATGGTTTAAATGCGGTTCGAATTTAGCCTGTTTGGCCTTTCTGCATGGAGCTTGTTCTCCTCATCCATGCATAAGAAGAATCAAAGTATAGATTTATTTGTTTGTTGTAAGAATTCTAGCCAAACGGCTTTTGCTTACCCCATTGGAAGATTTTTCTTACTCAAAAAAAGAAAATTTGGATCATGTTTAAAAATATTTACCATAAATAATCCCCCTTGAATAAAAGTTTTAGTGGTCACTTGACTCATTTCACCTTTTCTGCCTCTTTTTCAAACCAACTTTATTGGTACTTAATTTGATTCTCTTAAATTTACATGCTATGATGCTCAGGGCAGCAAGATGAAATGGAGACTCTTTGGTGTGGAGGATTATTTAATCATTCACTCTAAGTCTCATTGCTGAAGTGTTCATTTTCTCAACAGATGATTTTATAGTGAAAACGTAACTCTTTTGATGCTTTCAGATTTTCCTGCGGTCAGCAACTTTGGGTGAGTAGACGCATCTCAGTCTAAATTCACTCTCCTGGCACATTTTATTAGGTCTAGAAATCTAGACCAACCATAGGAACAGAAAACGATGTTGTTCTTCAGGTCGGCCTAGCCATGCCCTACTGTAGCCTCAGCTGTGCTACCATTGGTCTTATCAGTTTTGTGTCTTGCCAATCACAAATCTTTACATTTGTTGGGTGGGCTTTGCACCAGAGCTTCAATGGAGAAAAGCTATGAAGATGGTGCCAGCACAGGAAGGGCGCTCATTTGAAATGCCTTTGGCATCATGGGATTTTCTTTGAGACATGAGCAGATAGAGGTACTAAAGTCCTTTATTTTGAAAAAAGAATATACTTTCTTCTTTCTGGACAGCATATGTTGCACTGTCCTATTGACTGACATCCATGGCAGAGAGTAAGTCATGTTGTTCGATGCTTCTAGTGCTGCACAAATGCATGCGGAGACAGTCTAAAAGACAACCGTAGATTCTGCCACATGACTGGTTTATTTCAAAGGCTCATGGCTTGACTAAAGCTATGATCCCTTGAAACAAACCATGACTACATATTAAGATTAAAGTCCCATCAGTTGTCACACACTCTTGTGTGTGGTGAATTTTCTTCTCTGCATTTGACCCATCCCCTGTGAGAGCAGGTGAGCTGAAGACATGGCCATGCTCGGGAACTATTTGATGGTTTAACCCCTGAATCCAACCCCTTAATGCTGAATGTCAAGGCATCAGGGAGGCGTTGCATCCCATTTTCAAAGTCTTTAGTATGACCTGACCATGGATTTAAACCCCCAATCTCCCAGTCTCAGGGCAGACACTAACACCACTAGGCCAATGAGCTGGTCATATTTTTTATTTTCGATGGTTTACTAGGCTAACACTTTATTTAATCATGTAGGTACTTAGAAAATACTTACATTTTGTACATTTTTTTTAAAAACAGCCATATATGCTCTTGTGATGTGGTTTACATTAATCTTTACAAGTTAAAAAGGACACAAAAAATCCCTAAAATAATACTGGAATAAACAAAATTCATAATAAAAAGATTAAAATTGTGGATATACTTTCAGTTATCAATTACATTTTGATGTAAACTGTAAACACAGATCAGACTGACTAGTTCATTTATTGCTAAGACAAACCTTTTTTTTGACCTCGTGAAATAATATTTCAATTTTTAATTGAAGATACTTAAACATTTTCTTAGATTAGCTGGGTTAAACACCTTAAACAGCCCAATGAATGTGTGCTCTAAGATTATTGCAGTTCAGCATGGGGACTTGGTCTCCCTTTGGAAGAAACAGGTGGCTGAGAAAGCAGTAAAAATTACCAGCTAACTAGACCATGTCGTCTCAGTGGAGTTCTCCATAACGCCTTCAGGCTGACATTTTAATGTGACTACAATGAGAACTAATCACTATTCCACGTCCTTTATTCCTTCTGCTATTAGGCTCTTCACATTTGGACAAAGATTGTCTTAATCGACTGCTTTAGAGACTTGTTGATAATGAACTTGATCAGGGAAAACTTTAGAAAAGTAAAAGTATTTTTTCATGAGAGTAAAGAGGATTTTGTAATGTAGTTCAGAGATTAATGATAATATAAGTGAATTCTTTGTGGAGAGTTCAACAGCTGAACTTCTCATCCTCTGCTGCATTAAGACTTGTGCTTTCTTTCAGGGAATACATCGCCATTCTACAGGCCTTCTTGCATTTGAGATCAGACCTTTTCCAGTCTTCCTGGCCCTGTTGTTTCTTTTACTAAATACTATCTAAATACTTAGAAACGTTTTTTTAAACAGCTATGGTACTGAGGATGGTTTGAATGTTAAACTATTTTAGGCATAACTAAACACATCTGACATTGTAACAGTTTCAACAACAAAGATAACTATTTTCCAGAATTATTAGTTTATTGAGATAATATTTGCACAGTCAGAGTAGTCGTGATTAAATGTTAGCTGAAATTGGAAATTGTTTTAAGTTATCGGTGCTCAATGTATGAATCTGTTTTAACAATCAGGTGATTGTACTGTATGTAAAACGCTGAAGCCAGGAGGTCACAAAGTAGTTTCTACAGATTAAATTAGTAGTGTTTAAATTCAGAAGTGATGTGGATAAATGTAAGTACCGTAGGGGGACATGGCAGAAATAGGTTAAAACTAGGTTTGGTCAGAATCTGAATTAGAAAGGGTTTATTGCCATATGTGCTAGAAATCACGTTAGGAAATAGCCTCGGTACTTGGTGCAAAAAGAAAGAGAAAAATAAGAGATAAGCTAATATAGGAAGTAAGAATATAATCATGATAAAATAATAATATAAAGTGGCAATAATTAGAGAAACAGCTACTATATACAAGACAGTGTAGGTTATGATCAGAGCAGATCAGTTCAGGTACAAACACAACACAGGGTCATGTGACTGAAACCAAGTAACTGGAGTGGGCAACCCTAGGATTGTCAATCATGAGTCCAACAGCAGAGGGGAAGAATCAGTTTTTGTGGTGAGAGGTTCTGGTCCGAATGGCTATGAGCTTCTGCCTTGATGGTAGTGAGTCAGTAAATTCAACTTAATCTATGGAATTGTTCCAAAACAGTAAAATATAAGAATATGAAGTGAACCAAAAAGTTTAATATACTAGAATTCAACTTTATTGTCATTGCATATGTCACAAGTACAAAGCAGTTTGCATCCGTCCAGAAATGCCTAGTAAGAATAAAGATACTATATACAGTCCAAAATGTTGCTGTTCATGAGGGAGAAGTCGACTATTTGTTTATTTGTCCCTGTCCATTGTATGTGTGTGTGTATGTGTGTGTTCATTTTTGGA